CTAAAAACAAAAATTGTCAAAAGAGTACGGATGTGGTAAGTGAATGCAAAGCCGACGAGTAGTGGAAGTTGGCCTGGTGGTTGCATCAGATGCAACGGTCTCCTAATAAAAATAATAATAATAATAATAGCAGCAAGGGCTACTGCAGAGCCTGCCGGCTGTTGCCTGGAATCTTCTTTTTGTATTTTGCCTGGCTAGCAGCGTGTCGGGTTCCCGATAGTGGGAAAATTGTATGTCCAATAGAAGCAAATAAAGAAAACTACTGTATAGAAAAAACGAAAAGGTGTCTTTACTTCAATAAATTTATTGCATCCCCGTGGTAGCCTAATAGGTCACGTATTTGCCTGTTAATTTTAAAGGCACATTATGGACCCAAAATATACACACACGTTTCATGTCGAGAGCCAGCCGTCTGACGGAACACCTAACGGCCGTACGGACATAAAAACCCGAAACATTTACTAAGTAATAGTAAATTATTTGGTCTTTTTTCGGTTTCGTCTAATCTCAACCTGGTATTAATTTCATTGTAAGAAAACTAAACGTTAAAAAAACCCTTGTTTCTGGAAAATTGTACGCTTCTTTGCGCGAAGTGTTTTTTTCTGGACTCCATTTTACCTCTGTAGCAATATCACATATTAAACCATCTGCCAAACATTCTGCTTACTGAATTTAGGTGTCTGACAAACGATTGTGCGTATGTGTCTAAACAGAACCGTGACTAAGACCTAAAACAGCTGTAATCTTCATCAGATATTCAGTTGAATTACTTCCATTGTTAAGTGAAACATGTGACACAAATATGGCTGCGTTTTACGTAAGAACCTATAACCGTCACTGTTAAGGTAGCTAATCAATATATATTATACCATATTTATTTCCACGTACCCATAGGGAAACCTGAGTTGGTAACCTGCTAAAAAGTTTCACAGATGATGTATTTCGTACGGCCTTTACGTCTTGTCATCTTAATGTCTAGAGCAAGTAAGTTAGTACTTTTAGAGGTTGCATATCTTCCTTGCAACCGAGGCTTCAGTATTCGATGAACTATTGGTAAATTATTAGATTAAATTAGAGTAGATGATTAGTGAACAGTTATCGAGACAATAGGAAAGCATTAGGCTCTATCTCCGAGACATGTTCAGCATGCGCACAATGGTGGAACTCAAAATTTCGTATTAGTCCGTACGAGGTCATTTGGCAATCGGTTTTCACTTGCATTGCAGAAAACTCCGCGCGGAACAATCTTTCCGCGTTATATAGCAGTCATACACCCGTATGTTGAAAATGAAAATATGTAAAAACCCTATAACAAATACATTCTTTATTTGACCATTCCATGTGTGAATATACTGGCTGATAAGCATCACTAGTAATCAAAGACAATATATACAATATTTACCTTCACGCGCTAACTGCTCCAATTTGTACGCATTAATCTGTTAACAAAAAAAGTAACCCCCGTTTCTATTTATTGGATCTCTTATCTGGTTTCCCTCTAACTAATGGTAAAGTGTTGCATACCGCTTTAAAGCTCATCATTTTGCTCGGTTCACGGAATTTTAATCCAAAATGGGTGGATTCACCTAGCAGTTATTTCTTTCAAAAGTGGCTTAAACCGGTTCGGATGCGTTCTTTAGCACTCTCAGCTTTATATGAACATCGTGCTGCTGGCAGCTTATTGATCTCGGCTAAAGACGAAAAAAAAAGTGTTATAACCGCTGTCTTTTTATCCTTAACTGCTCGTATCTGGGGTCAAAATTCCACAAAGAATATTATGATCTGAACAAGACGATGACCCTGGACCTTTGTGAGCGAAGAAAGAGCGATATGACATTTGATCATTAACAAATGAAATATCAGGAACAAAAACTTATCTAAAACATCTGATTAGCGATGTCACACTGAATCGACTCTAGCGGCAAGTTGACAGATAATCCCATAGATTTTCTTTTATAAACACGGCATTCACACATTTTCTTATAACATTCATCATAAATACATGCCTTTCCACATATAATTCTTTCTTGCAGTTGTATCGCACTAATCATTAGCGTCATTATCATCATAACTATTATTATCTATAATCTACATTTTGGTCTTTTCTAACACTAACTATACAGTCCTCACTATATGCTATTAACAATGAATAATATTGTCGACGTTATTCCTAATTTCGTCTCGTTGTCGTAATCTCGTCCCTCATATTATGTCGTACTATACACAAGGTGACTTCATTGCCCTACTCATATAAACTAAATTTTATGTTTAGACAGACTAAAGTTTATCTATAGATAGTCAACAACAACGATGTTCTCCAGTGCGATTTTCTTAGAGCTTCACGAACTGGCAACGTGGTCATAATCTGACTGATATTACTTGCAAGTAGCTAGAATCAATGTCAAAGATTCTTCGAATACGCTGAGTAGGCCTAACGAACAATTTGCTCTTTTCATCCAAAATCATTAGATTGTTGTCAGTATTAAACCATATAAATTCATATTTACATAACGATTAAGTTTTACGATTTCATGGTCACTTGCTTGTAGATCAATGATATGTCGCTTTTGATGAGCGAATTTTCATTCAAGCTAATGCCACATTTTCAAACTAAAATGAATTCTTTACAGGAGCCCCCCAAAACCGTAAAACAGTTGACAACCTGTTTAAACATCTTCAACATAACACTCAGTTTTGTGATTTTCTTTTGTTGTACAGGCTTGTTCAAAACGTGCCTGTGCAGCAGCAAGGATATTCTCTTAATATTCTTTTGCAAAAAAAAAATGCTCACTGGAGTTTCTCAATTCCTAGTCCGCTGCATCTATCTCACATTCATTCATGGTCTAAAAAAGGTCCCCTCTTAATCAATGCACAAAGAAAGACAATGAGGCATTAAATAGCGTACATCGGATTAAAACATTGCTGAATGTTAATTTCCAAGGCAGTAGCCAGATAAGGGCTAAGCCGACATATCCAGATATATTATAACTCTTCAGAAGAAAAAAATACCGTGTGGTCTCTTCTCGTCGTTAAGACTCACACAGAAAGCTATTCTCACGAAAATCAACTTTATTAACCTGGATAATATGCTAATTTCTTTACAAATATACTCACTCACTCACTCACTTCGTTAACGAAGCATTCAGCTGCTTCTTCTAATCTAATTGAGGCAACAGTTATTAACCGACTTATGCTACTTAAAGGTTTACAAGTGAACTCACTCGTTGTCCCACCCTTCAGGCTGATGTGTATCTCCGGATTAAATCTGCATACCTGACAGACTTACTTATTAACCAAGCCTCATAACCTCGACATCTTTTTGCTAATTTCACGTCCTGTGAAGAATAGTGTTTCGCAAATGATTTCCGGTATGGTTACCATTTGCTAATACGCTCGACGCGCTTGTTAAATACCGAGATGCACTCCGCGCCCCTTCAGCCAACAGATTTCGTCGTAAAGCAATGTCAACATCATGTTCGCCATCATCATCATCAGTTGTGTCGTGAGTGAGAGCTGAGTCATCATCAAAATGTGCTCCGGTCGTCTCGTACTCCAGAATTTCCGAATCTTGAAGGTGGCTCTCGCCCAACACGAAGCTGCCGAATCTGTGGTGGAAAATGACAAATGAACGGGAAATAAAAGTCACTTATATAATACGACACAGGGAAAACGCGTTATTTAATATGAATTGAGTCACCGCAAGAACCTTGCGGGAAATTTAGAATCAAAACGTATTCTGTTTCAATACAAACTTGTTCACGATTCTGCTCACAGTAATAATTCAGTAAAGAGTGCGAGGGATAGGCAAGTGGAGCATCTGTGGACTTCACGAACAAAATGCGGAACAAGTGTCAATTAAAGATTCTTTTTCAGTCAGAAAACGATATGAATCAATACCCTCATCTCCTGACAGCATTTAACCACTGCACTAACTTCTTAATGTGATCACACACACACGTACTTTGCATCACTATTGTTAACATAATACTCCTTCACACCGACAATTTAGGTTTTGCCTGTCACTAAATCTCAATCGACAAATCAAAATTGGGTTTTATTTGACGTGGCACTTTACTTGTACAATTAGTGCTTCTTATATTTTCCGCAAACCCTCCGATGTTTTATCGGCATACATAAAAAAAAAAGACGATCATACAATATCCTTGTAATTTCTAAACATATATACGACAAAAAATATTTAAAAAAATACTGTATTGTTTTCAACGTTGATTTGTACGGACAGTCACTGCTATTAGCTGTAAACTAAAACGTTTTGATTCCTCATATAACCCGTCTATAAAAGGCCAGGGTCTTAAAAGTTCTACCATAACAAAATATAACCACATGCTCTTCAAAAACTGATACATTCTTTAATAACCATAAATAATACACGAAATGGAAGGTAAATGGAGCAAAATAACGAAATGATGTGGACTATATAGATCTATTAACACAACTTAGAAATTACAATCCTTTGGAATCAACGCGGTTTCTGACTTAATCGATCTGACGATTATCATCCTTACCTTGATGGATTTCTTAGTCGTGACATGACCTTCCAGGCGTCGCAGTCTGGAGATCGAGCAAAATCTCGGAGTCTTTCTAGCTCTCTTGCTGTGGTTTCGTCGCCCTGCCGAATGTACTCCTCTTCTGTCAACATTCTAATAGTCGGCTTAAAAAACCTAAGCAATTAAACAAAAATCAACACACAATTCATTAATTAATACAGCATTATACTAGGGTTTTTGAACATGTCACTATTGATATTTAGCTTTAGCGAAACCGTGGTTTGATCTATCAGGCCGAAATTTAATCGGATATTGTAATTTATTCAAATAATTATATAGTGTAACACGCCAAAAATTACCGCAAACCCCTCGTCAGATTACCCGACAATATTTGCAATCTGTACCGGATAATTGGCGAAATTAAGTTTCCTGTAGTCTTAAGAATTAACCTCCAGTATATTGACTTTCCACTGTTTGATGCATTCGATTTCTAAATGTTATTAAGATAATGAACGACTACAGAACAAAAGCTCTGTTATCGTCTCATGGAAAGCGATTCCTGGCTTATTTTGCACATGTGTATAGCTGCTTACAATAAATGGTGAACATGTAGATTTTTTCAGGCTACGAGCCAACATCGAAATAATCCAAAGAGTCCATATAATCGAAATAATCTATGCAGATTCTTATAACTTTTGTCAATAGGATTATTGCTTGATCTCTGATCAGGCAAATGTTTGTGGTATGACGGAGGTCTTTTTTTAAGTATCCGAAGTGTAAAGACATGAACATCAGTACATTTATTTTCATACGTTTTGTGTGATACAGTATCATCCAAGAACTTCAACAAATAGGTTTGCATGGCCCGCCTTTGATATCTAACAGTTGTGTAAATTAGTACAACACTATTTAGAACTCTTTACTCAGTGAAAACTTCACTTCAATGAGTAAAGTAACTTTTGTTAAACAGTTTTCTGTTTAATTAATCAATGAGCTTATAAAAGAATGACCAAACAATTAGAAAGTAATTACTGCTTATATTTATTTCACTAATCGACGACCCTATCTCGTCGTATATATATATATATGCATATATATATATATATATTCACATAGAACATGAGTCTGCTTCGTTACAGACAATGCGACGTCGGAATGATGAAAGAAGAGTCTAATGACGTTGATGGGAGCACGTGAAGTACAAGCTTGTCTAGTGCTATCCTATTTGATTAAAACACATATATACAGATACAAAAAAAAGCAAGTTTTTGCGTATGAGTTCATGCCATTATTTGGAAATCAAAAAACCTAAGCAGCAACATCTGACAATAGTGGCAGTAATAATCCACGCAAAAGATGTTCCCGAAACTGCTTTCACCGTTTAAGATCACCCTTTCGAGGAGTTGCGGAGTATGGCTGTGATCGCCTTGGCGTAATTTGGGAGCGACCGTTGCGTTGTTCATTGGTTAATGGCTTTCGACGGCGTAACTGTTCTTCATCTGAACCAGAATTGCTGCTAATACATAGCCTCCTTTTAGTTTAGAATTGAGTAATTTGACTGCTTGTACCCAGCAAATAACGCTTCTCAACATCCGTTGAGGCAAAAAAGATCATGCCAAAGAAAAACGTATATATTTTTTTAATTAAAGATCATATCGAAGGTAACGCAAAAAGTAACAATTTATTTTGACTTAATTCAATTTTACCTTCGTTGCAACCATGTTGTGAAGCGAGCTTTCATCCTGGCTGGAAAATTGTAGGCAAGTAGAGCGATTATACAGAATGCGAGGGTCACTTCTGGTGCATCCGAGCTGAAGTATACTCCATTTAATGCTACAAACTGATAATTAGGCAGACGGAAAAACAGATACAGAAAAGTTCATTAATAATCTTTGCCTTTATGTAAGCAAATAGGGTTGATTAGAGCGGCTATAAGACAAATCTTTTTTCTATTTATATTTCTCAACATACCTGCTAATAAAGTAGGGGCATTTTTAAGAGGAGTACGGCTCGAACATTAGGTAGAAGACATCATGTACCCTAAATACATACCTACCGCAGTATATTAGAGCTTTGACATTAAGCATATCTCTTCTTTAGATTTATAATTATACAGCTGTTTTGATAATACTCTTTCCTAAAATTACCATATTAATTGCAAAAAATAAAAGTAGCTTTTCGGCTGTGCTATTCCTACTTTGGATAGTCCACTCTAACCGGCTATTTCTACGTTTTCTTATTTCGCTGTCTGCTTTTGATACAGTATTGAATTGAGCCATTTTACTAACTTGCATGAGGATCTGCATCGTGTCGATTGTGCGTTCATCCTTGGGTGGGCCAATTCGGTAGCAGATAAGGAATGCAATACCGGCGGACAGCCCGATGTAGGCAAGGAAGTAATGCTTATAATGACAGAATATCTGTGATCGACAAAAAACAAAAAAAAAATAAAGTTTGCGCTATTAAAAATGCGATCAGTACTTTCGGAGGAAAGTATGCTTTTCTACTTCAACTCATTTCGGTCACCAATCAGACCATAGAATGGAGAGTTGTCGGGTAGCTTGCTGATTGGCTTACCTATCAGGAAATTATGCTTATTGTACTTTACGATGAAAAGCCACAACCACGCAGCAGTGTTTTTTCGACGAGCTTTTACAACAGCCTAAATTCAATTTTTGTTAAAATGCGAAATAGCAGCGTGAAAGAGGCTTAGTGCAACAGCGATCTATACCTCAAATTTACTGTTCCACAGCTGAAGTAGCAAATAGATCCAGAACGACCATCCGGTGACAAACATTGCCGCGACCGTCATTCGGCCTCCGGGAAATAACCGTTTGAGTAAGAAGATCAAAAGAAGAATCGAAGCTAGGACGCCTAGCAGGGCTCCGCCGGAATAAAAGATAGCCGGACTATGAACAAGGTTTCGTGCGTAGAAGAATAGAGCCAACGACGCAACGCATTGTAGCAGGCGAAAATAGTCGATGTTGTATTCCCGAAAGACAAAGCTGTACGCGTAGCTACTGACGATGCCGATGCATTTGTTGGTGAACGGCGGGAACGATACGTGCTTTCGCTGGAAAAGTACGGGAAGCCAGGATTGGGAGGCATTACCGTGAAGGTAATGGACTTCTTGTTCGCTTTCACCCTCATACAGGGCATAAGATGGTGGCAGGATGCGGTATTCCAAACGGGATGACGAAAACACTCCAAACGGGCTAAAAACAAATAATTTATTGGTTCATTATCATAATTAATTTAGTTATTCGGGTTATATATGCAGAGAAATATTATGGCCCACCATTATTACACGTAGTGCAAATTGTATCTGCTAAAATCTGCTGCTTTTTGTCGATTTGTGATGAAAGTCGTATCGTAAAATATCGATGAAATTCAAATGACAAGCAGTCTTTGTGCACAAGAATGGCTGTTGGGCTGTCCTTTTCGCAACTTTACATTAACCAGTTTCATGTCGCGGTGTCTATCTCATCTCATTCTAACAAGAGCAGTGCATATTGTGAACCAAGATTAACAGAGACATCACTGTAAATGTAAGCATAGTCATCTCATATGACTGATGATATCGGAATATCTATCGTGCAGGATTCTTACGAGTAAGGCCGTGCTCGATAGCAAAAAATTTCGAGCTTTCCTTCACCCGATCCGCTGTAGTTCGTTCCACCCTTTGATGTCAACTCAGTCACTGGTACAGATTTCTGGGCGTCACTTTGATCCAGTAAAATGGTGACTGCCAGAAGAAGGAGCATGTAAGACAGCAAATGCCCTAAAAAAAAAAGGCACGACGTCCAAAACACAGAACAAACAAAAAATATAACACGAAAAACGTTACACAGATATCTCAAGATATAACCGCGTTTGTTATTTGTAGACTAAAAAACATGCAACGCGTTCTACGATGAGCATACGTAAGCAAGCTCGATAGTTAAATGTTTATTAACGAATAAGCGGATGATACTTTAAAGATGCCACAACGGACTCACGATGTATACAGCGATGCACACATCGAAGAATTCCGTGTTTACTGAAAACGCTCGAACATCATTATTCACTGTTTTCTGATATTAATCACACTGGTTCAAACAATATCTTATCAGTAGATTTTACTCGTTAAAATTAATGTACATTGTATATGTAACTTTATTATGGTTAGGTCTGATGATAATTATATTCGATAGTCTCGTTATTTCGCCCTTACTGAAAACAAATGACAGGCTCCTTTCCAAAGTTTAAGTGGCGTGCTAGTTGCTCAGCGATAATAAGCAATTCATCTTGTTGAAGACGAATAGAAAGTAAATGAGACCTAAAAAAATCAACTTGTTTCAGTTCTTAGGTTTAGGGAAGCTTAGGCACTCCGAGGAAACGAACAAACAGCCTCAGCAGCTACACTTAGGGTCAGAGCTTCGAAGAAACATGTTCTCGTTGTCGATTGTCCCGATAAATTCTTCTAAATCATACGTACGCATGTTCCATTAGTAGCGTTTTAAACTGCAAATTTCTGCAACGCTCCTTGTTACAGAGCTTTCTTAATGCTGCGACAAATCTGAATCCCGATTTAGCCGCTAACAGTTATCCCTCCAGATTACACAACAATTACACAACATAATTCAAACAAAATAACGTCTGCCGCAAAATTCCCGCCTATCCACTACCTGCTGGTAACTTTGCTCGCACCTTCTTAAACGTGAAGGAAACAGTGTTACGTGGTTCAATTGTTTCAACGATTATGCGTTGCAAAAATACCGGTTTTTTCTTCTAATCTCTTTTTACCTAGGAGCGTCCGATATTCAGTAGACACTCCTAAAACATGACGTACCTCTATACATGTTGCCACCCTTGCTTTGCCCAGGCACTGCACGTAATAACATACAGCGTCCCGAACACTGTTTCACAATAGTATCTGCAACATGGACGGTCACCGGGCGCTTTTTTCAGCAAATCGTTCAAACAGATCCCACTACTCGAACACCGTTGAAATTTGGAATGAACCGCTCCGTCTGTTCACAGCGGATGGACGCATGCCCGCAAATAATGTACACAAACACAAATTGGCGCGGGTGATCAAGCGATTCGTAGCTGCTCTTCCCTTGAATCATCAAAATGCAGTGTTCTTGTAAGTGCAGAAGTTATTAGTGCTCAGACATCTACGCATTACGGATAGACTAAGAATTTTATCACCATTTTTGTCATGCCCATAAAAGCGTAACATTGCGTGACTAACGGTGAACGATCTCCATAATTGGCGTTGCAATCTTAGAGAATTCAAAACCGAAATAATTGTTTTGTAGATCTACACAGCAGTTCATCATATGAATATGTTATATTATATATATATTATACCACTTCGTTGCCTATTTAAAATATATATTACGCCGTTTTTGCATCGCAGGGTTGTCATCTTAATGTATATATATACATCTTATATTACGCATTATATGTATATATATAATAATTATAATTTCCCATATATATATATATATATATATATATATATATATATATGGAAAATTACTGAGAAAATAAAATCATTTGAAATAAAAAAAATTATGATATGATTTGTTTATATACTTTTGTTGTACGATACGAACGTATAGAGATCTAACGTTTATTAATACTGCATGTAGAATCGGTCATGTACATACAAAGATGATTATACCTTTTCTTGAAGAGTCAATAGGCAATTCAAGATTAAATTTGGCAATTTTATTATGAATAAATCCAATTGTTCCTCGATACAAAGACCGAAACCATTTTTATATGCTAAGTTCATTTCAAGTTACTCGGTTACCTGCCTGTGGCAGTTTACTCTTGCACTTTTCATTCACATAGAAATGTTCGGCCTCAAATCCCGGGCAGCGCGTACGAATATTTGTGATTGCACAGCGTAAATACTTCAATGCATTTAATGATAAATTCTCAGTAATGACCGCATCACACAAAATAACACATTAAGTGACACATTTTCCTGTTTATTAATCACACGACATATCTTGCAATCAAATATTTACACTTGCGAACCTCGTCCAGCTAAAGCCAGACAGGCAAGTCTGGGTTTAGCTGGACGGGGTTCTATCTACGACTTCGTAGCTATGCATATATCCTTTCATTTACCTATAATTTTCTCCATTTATGGCAGATTAGCGGTTACGAAACTAATTCAATTTGTCTCTAGTTTCTATTCCCTTTCCAGCTCGCATTACATGACTGTGTGTTTTCACAATAGGGAAAAGTCGAAAAGAGTTGAGAAAGTCATGTTCTCAAAACATTTGGTTTTACCATATCTGTTCGCATAGCGCCACCGCCAAACTCAGGGTTTACGAAAACACTTCCGGATAACAGACACGCACCGCTTCATAATCGCTGAAGTACGTGACCTTCACATTTCTCTTATGTGCCAATTATCATCGACTACACACCTCGGCGTCAAATGCTTCAAAAGAAAATACCCAACGACAAAATCAACAAACGAGCGTTGCTTTTCCCTTCCGTCATCCACGACGTTTCCTAGTCTGTTAGCTGCATGGTAGTCATAATCCTCAAGGTAGCTCTGCGGTCATTTTCCAACTACAATTCATCATCATAACTTCATCGTTAGCATGAAAAAGCAAATAATTGTTACGCTTCAGCAAAGCTTTTCAGAACATTAGGAATAACATTTAGATTCATCAGATGTCTCTGAGTGATATTGAAGGAAGAACGCTGCCATAAACTCTCCGAGTTTTCGTTGAACATCAGCGTGTGCTATTGCCTTTGCCTAATAATCCCGTAGCTATTCATCTATCACCCCGCCTGCACGGATAAAAACCTGCGCCAGTATTGTAATAACCGTAAGTGACATGAGAATATTAGTCTGAGTCTGTATTTGCTTCTTCTACTTGATTTTGCCGGCCATTTTGATAGGTTCAATTGTTTAGTAGCGGGTCATAGCTGCGCAGCTCGAACTGATATTCATTGGGAGGCAAAAATGTTTGTCTAGATGAATGGGTGAATTCTTATAAATCTCATTTCTGGGGGCTAGCGACAGGAAGTGACCTGTGTACAAAAAGAGTGGAAGGTCGAAAAGCCGGAAGAGCAAACTGGGCCGTGTAGAGTAAGCAAAATAAAAAATACTTTGCCCTCCGTACCGTTTGTTTGTAGGTACGAAAAAGTTAGACTGCCATCGACAAAACCAATAAGTCATCCTGAAAAATCGCCAGGGCTGTCCTTCGTAAAGTTTAGCCAACTTCACTTTGCCGATCTGAGGGCAGAGCGTTGCGCTATGGTGTGCATAGTCGCCATCAGTTGCATCGAACGATGCATCTATCCACTCTAAATGACTGCGCGCGAAAATGGAAGTAATTTGATTGTGATAATACATTAGTTATGCTTGTTCGTCGATTGAGCTTCGTTTGTTAATATACCTTATGATAAAAAAGAAAAGTCGGTGATAATTGCATCCACTGAGCGTCAGTGTGTAGACACAGAATTAAAAAATGTATTACATACTTTTCTCAGAATACTATGAAATAGCCAGTGGTGATTCTAAATCAGTATATTAATTGACATTTGGTTAAATCCTCAAGCCAAATGGAAGTGAACGTGTACGTACAGCTGCGCGACGGACGCTGCAGGAAGTATCTTTATTCTACCCGTATTATGATACGAACATAACAAAGGTACGTTTACGTCTCAGATTTACCTTAGCATCCTAAGCTAGTATTATGTTATGGTTGCGGAATCTGCTATGCGTCCTTTCTGATATATTGTTAACCGGCGTATTCTCCTTTTACCTATTTCCAAATAATAACTGCATAATATCCGACCCTTTCAATGCTCCGATCTGCCTTCTGGCTGGATACCAAACACCCTGACGCTAACTCTCTATGAGGATGGCATGTTCGGAAGCCGAGAGGTAGTGGCATTTATGTGCGTCTATGAAGGCTTAGTTATCGATGAGCTGGTAGCAATACTGGGGTATGCCAATGTAAGATTTGCCACAAAGACTGAAATAGCTTTTAGCAGTTGACCAGTAGAATAATTCATGTCTGTTCATGATGTACCAACGCTCAGTCTTTTTCACTAATAAAAACGGGTGATTTAAATAGTTGAGACTATAACAAACGCTGTTTGTGTGTGTGTACGGCGTAGCGCAGCGCTCGACAGACCTAATTCTGTCCGAACAAAGACTTAGCTAAGCTAGCATTGCATGTTGATACTTCTCCTTTTGAGGAGGTGCAGGGTACGAAACACAAAAATGGTACCGATTTACTTTATGACGTTGAAAAACGTGCAGTGCCCTTTTCGGTGGTAGAAGACCAGGGCGACCAACGAATCGGCGCTATGGAACTGGACTAAAGCGTTCTTCGACGTCTAAAAAACCCTTTAGTTACCAAGACGATTGTTGGAGGCGGCGCAAGCTCGTTTTTGGGTACCAGCGAAAACCATCAAATAACATGCAAACTCACTACTTAGAGTAAGACGTCCGCCCATTCATAATAGAGACAACCCTAGAACTTCGCAGACGCACGCATCAGAAGCAATGGCTACAACTGAACCGGTTAGCTTGGAATCCTTAAGTGGATGTGACCAATGGCAGCAAATAGGCCTTCATGCTTGCTTACAGTGTGAAGGACAGAAAATACCTCCTTAGGTCTTTTCGAGCGACTGATCCATTAAAACCTGAATGGTATCTATTTTGAGGGTATTTATGAACCAACAGCAACAAAGTTATCGTGTACTTAAATAAAATCTGTTGTTCCTATCGATGAGGACCTGATTAAACTGTGACACTCGTTGCCCGTAAACAGTGTTGACAATGCGAAAATTAAGGGGAACCCCAAGTGACACAGAACTGAATCAATGAAGGATTATGGGTTTAATTGTAGGTCGACCCATAATCCAACGGAAAACAATATTAGAAGCAACCCACAAAATACAGATGGGCGCATAACAAGCATTCATCACATCTTTTAATGAATTTCATTAAGACTGACAAGAATGCAGTACGAAATATCGCAGCATGCTATTATGGCTATTATGTATTATTAAGGCTATTATGTATTACCATCTGGTAGTGTAAGGCCTCCAGGCTTTAACACTTGATCGAAATATAAGCTTATATATATAGGCTATTAGGGTTCAATGTTAGTATTGAGGTGAAGGCGAGGTGGCTTTTATCGTTTGATTGTCAATGAAGTCCGAGAGTGCATTGATAATGATGCACATTCGCTTCGGTGCAATGTGAGGATGCATTTTCTTGGTGTGGAAAAGAACCTCGTATTCGAATCCAAACGTTGTCCAACAACTACGGACCTGCCATTATTAAAGCACACTTGTCCGATATCCCCACAGCCCGAGAACAGCATCCGCATCTCTTCGGTTCTTCCACTAACAACTAATTATTTATTGGAACTTGTTTAGTTCATTCTCGTAGAAAAATGTGGAGAATTTTAAATTTATAGATACAATTTCCGGAAGCGCTCGTTCGTTCTTAGGGCTATGCAAAGACTAGTTTCCATATCGGAACGTACCGTTCTCCAAACAAGGGCTTCAGTCAAGGAGCGTTAGATGACGATTGTTCGCCGCTATTTGCGCCTGCGGAGTTTAGATGGCTAAATGGACTTAGGCAGGAAAGAGAACCAGGAAAGGCTCGCTAGCTTAAATTCTGGAATACCATATATTTTTAGGTAAACGATAAATAAATTGATTTCCTTGCCAGTGGACCTTTTCAGTTTTCAGTGGAAGTATTGGCGCCACAAGGTTTTCAAAAACGACTGACCACGAAAAATGGCCAAATAGAACAGTCAACCCTGAGAGGAAGACAATCTTTCGGAGTATAGCAAAAAACCTGGCGACGAAACAAAGATTCCTAACGCCGTTAGCTTTACAGTTGGCAAATTCAGCGTTTCTAAAAAATCAATATTTTATTCACCTTGCGAGAATACACTTTTAGAAATCTGCTATAATAGACGCCAGGTAACGCTAAAAGCTATCAAGAATTCGTGAGGCCGCAAAGTGTCGCTTTACAAAACGGCCATCTATTACAATCATGTTACAATTACTAAGTTTAGACACATTTACAAAACCCTGCTTCTTGCCACATTAACTTCTTATACCTTCTAACAGCAACTCCAAGAATAATTTGGGCGTCGCATCTCCGCCATCTAATCAGCATTGCCGCCACCGTCGACGTCATTCAACCTAGTTCTGTTGTTGATGAGCGCTGGAGTCTACTCGCGTGCGGTTCAAGTGTTACGATTTTGGACTTGACCTTAGAGGGGCCTAACCGCCAAGAAAAATCGGTCAGACAGTTCACTGGCCTATCGCCATCATTAAAACCTGGCCGTCCGTGAGGGCTGCAACACGATACGTCTCACGTGCAAAAAGGACACTACATTATTGGTATCTCATATCGATATATGGGCTCTGTTTAGCGGATACAATAATGACGCGGAGAAATATGACAGCCTCGACGAGAAAAACAGCCAACAAATCAATCTGCGGCCAGAGTCTTACCACAGTGGAACGCTGTGTGCGTACGTGTGCGCCGGTGCAAGTGCGGATGTTTTCAACCATATTCGTAATTGACGTTGATAAATCCGAAGGTTTAGATACGTTTGTCTAAACCGAGCTCTGACTGAATAGACGAGTATTTCTTTTATAACTAATTGTTTAATAGTTATTTTACATATGGCAGGTTTAGGCGACTGAGCTGACAAACCACCCTTGATGCGCTGACTGTTCAGATCGAATGGCTGAATCAGCGTTAAAGCCCAGCGCGTCGGGTCGAGCAGACTTTTTAGTCTGCTAGCGTCAGTAGTAGACCTTTACCGAGTACTTTTAAACAATGTGGAAAATAGGTGATGTACAGAGCTCGCCGATAGAAATTCGTACAGAATTCAAGTTGAAGTTACTCCTTTGTATTTTTGTTATAATATTTATTGAGTTAGTGCCGGCGTACACAGATAAACATAGCTCGATACAGATTAATATAGCTTTGTTATATTTCGGAACACATAATATATCTGGTCTGCGTACAACTTCTATTACCACTACAAAGCATTTCGCAACGGTTATTTACGAACGCCTTTATTAAACAAAAAATTCGTTGCATGAGGGGTTTCTGGTCGGCAGTGATTCGAGAGTTTCTCAATTTTAATAAAAATTAAAAGAATTAATAGGTTTAAAAACGATCAAGAACATACCTCACTGAACGTTCAATCTTAGAGTTCGAATAAATAATCCTATTGAAGATATTCTGCCCTAGGTAATGCTACCTGATTTCTCACACATATATTTATCTGTACACTATTCTTTAGGTAAACTCAGAACTCACAGAAAAACTGATGCATCGGCGTATAGAAAACATAGTAAATTTAGTAGATGAAAGCGAACCAAAATAGAATTTCTGTACGACGAGAGATATTGGGATTTTGTTCAAAAAGCGCCATTTTCACAAATTATTATGTCATCCAAACCATCATACTAGCGCTATATAAGCTATATAGCATAATAGACTTGTTGTTGCCACACACAACAAAAAAGTAGATGTAAATCCGAACGTACTAACTCATGTAAATTTACTATGGGATTTTTTTAAGTTTAAATTTACTACTACGGTGGGATGACTATAACACAACCACAAATCAATGAACGCAGCTAGGTCAATTGAAGGGCTACAGGCTGTAACACCACTGCAAAAACATTGACTGAAACGGTTCGTGATTCCGTCATGAGGCCTGCCTGAGTTATAAAAGAATGATACTTGTCCATCAGACGGCTCATAGATGACTCTGACCATGACATGGTGTGTTACCCGAGCGAAGAAATAACGTTACGTAGCTGCCGCCAAGGCGCAAGGAACAGGTTATCGAGCAGCTGTGTTCTCAACGCCTTGCCTACGACAGACTCTATCGAGCCTAGTTCGGATCCCTTTCTTTTATATGCTGTGATCGTATGTCACGAAGCATGCGACTAACAGGAGAAAGAGACTATTACCCTGAAGAAGTGGCTACTTAGAAATGCAGGAAGATCTCGTTACATGCTGCGGATACCGCTGGCATTTTAGCCGTTGCTGTCAGGACCACAAGGAAGGACGACGCTGAACCGAGTGTGGTCATCAAAAGTATGGCAGTAGGTCATTGTAATACAGTGTACCTGCTCCATAGGACAGGAACCGACAACGGGCCTGGAACCAATGCCCGAAGTGCGCGAGTGAGTTCATTCATCTGAGGATCCTCTTTTGGAAGCTCTACCTCCAACGGAAAAACGGAAGCGTAGCATGATGCTTAACTGGTGTAGAAACGCCTGTACTGGAGCGTGGGACTGTAGGGTTGGGCGAATTTCGACATCGGCTAGACATTACACTGCATTTTACAACGTATGACGTTAATAAGGTTACTGATTATGATAATAATCATGGCTTATTGATTGTGATGGGTTTTCACAGCACAATATGTCTAGAAACTCAAATGCGTACGTTTCTACACGTACCACGGGAAGCATTTCTACGACCCTTCATTGACGGTAAGGGCTCTGAAGACTATGTTAAAAAACATAAGATCTTTATTTCTACTTGTTTGTTTTGTACCATTTATCATCTGAACGTCTATTGCATCCCATATAATTCGAAAAGAAAGAAGCCGACTATAATTCGATTCGCAGATATCGATGGTATATGTCCGTGAAGCATTTTCAACACCAGTTCTCACACGAAAAAGTGGTTAAACAGCAGCCGTGTATTGGATGTCTTATTTGTAGACACTACTTATTTATAATGTATTAGTGTTGAAGTATTTTATATCCGATGTTTAGATAGTACGCAGTACTTCAGACGGCTGGCTCCCAGCTCAAATCAAAGTGTGCATATATGCCCGTATTCGAACTTAGACCATCGTATCACCCACTGCGCTATTACAAGGTATAATTTAGTTTAAAGGATAACGTAATAGGAACGTGTTTGCCCTCTAAACGTTTGTTTTAACCGTGGCCGGTTATTAGTTTTCTCTCGTATTCTCCTCGTATTCCTCCTCGTATTCTTAATGATTTCAAATCCAACCTATGATGCATTGATACGGGATTCATCCAGGAAAGGGCCCACGGCGTAACTGAAATCACTTAATTTTTTCGCCGGGATCCACGAAGAACTTACATGGCAGAGTGTCAAACCTGATATGAAGTATATTGGTTTGGGTCTTGCTCGACATATCTGGATTTTTTTTTCCATCAATCCTATTTGCCATTGCATAGGCAAAGCGACTAATAACTATTTGCTAGGGCCGAAGATTGCCGCATGTTCCCCAAAGGGATGTATATAAACAACACAAACTGTGCCGATTCAGCTCGTTAGTTTCCGTAATGTACGTGGGCTAGCCTCAAGGCCTAGTGCAAAACGGATGTTTAACTAAGGCAGTATATTATAAATGTATTGGAAAGTTGTATCAGAAACAACACAGAATAGTGTATAAGTTGAAAAATTTTAATAGACGCCAATTTAATATGAAATAATGACTCTTAAAAAAGAATGTTTGCTGATGAATTCCCTGGGGCCGTGTTCATCATCATATACAATATACCTATCTATGGTGAACTCGAATATCTTAATTCAAGCTTATATATTAAACTGAGTTTTCGGTTGACAATAGCTTGACTATTTTTCTAAAAAGAAAAATCGTGTTTGTGTGCCTCAGCTCTTAATTATGTTCTCTGAAAAAGTTACTTTACGTTCCGTACTGGTGTCAGGCATTGGCCGCTGGCTCATGCTTGGATTCGAACCTAGGCCACCACGTTTAGCTATTAAGTCAAGTTAGGGGCCCTCAGGGCCTTTGAGTGAAGTAAAACGAGGCAACCGCTTACGCATGCCACTACCTAACGCTTGCTTAGCGCTATGACGATGTATGTACGATCGTATAATGGCTCCATACCTCTTAACATGTGTACAAATATTCACTTTGATATACGAGACCCCGTTTACGTAAGAACGGTTTTAGCCGTCAAAAGACCGGCGCTGTACTCAATTGCACTGGCTGGCCACCATCGAGAAATTTCTCCTCTGGGAATAATCGCGACGATTTCAAATAGTCGCACAACAGAAAACACCCGGGAGGGAGGTTAAAGAAAAGAGCAATGGACCGCCCTAAAAAATTTAAATGTACGCGCGTTTAAAAGAAAAAGGGAGATACAAAAAAGGCTTTCCCTGTTGCATGACGAATAGTATAGCCAAATACGACAAGAGCGTATTTCCCAGTTAGGGTGTTCCGTGTTCAGTGGAAATAAGGGTATGGTGCTGAGCGTAAGGTCGGCAATTTTGGGTTCGCTCGATCTAGATGTCGCTGAAGTTCGGGCCTAACGTACACAAAGGAAATGCCAAGGATCCGCTTGTGGCCACTGACTTTTGAAAGGTAGCGACGTCGTTGCTAATTAATTTTTGACAAAATGAACCTAGTCTGGAACATAAACAACGCTTGATTTTCGTTGGACAACTTTTTGCTGTTGTTTGCTGTAGATATACAACTGCTATTGTAGAATATATTTTTCCGAAGCCAAAATAAAAAGAAAACATAAGGAACTCTTCTAGGGACGCAGAACATTGAGCAAGATTAATTGACATTGGGGTGCTTAATGTTGCGATGACAACTACCATCTATACGAATGAATGACTGGGAGATATCATGCACCGCTCCCTTGTTCCCTGTTTTCTGTAGTTGCTTCTGCTACTTTTGCGAGAAATCCGTAAGGCAGTTCAAACAGTCTGATCAGCCAAATGATCATAGCATCGTCCTTGACCTCAGTGTATAAAAGGCGAACCTTTAGTAGCCTTATGCGGGTTATGTCTCCCGAGAACATTTGTGTATCGCGAGATTGTGGCGCTTTTGCTAGATATTTTGTTTTAATGAAGTGCTTACCAGGTGACATAAATTTTCCAAAAAAGTCTGTTGTCGATCATTGACGAAGTATTCGTAAGAAACATGCAACTTTTTTCATGTCCTTGTGACCTCAAATTGTGCTTGCAATGAAGCTCTTCGCGGACAACAGGCCAAGCAATTTTTTTGGTTTTCTGCCTAAACTAATACAATTTAATAAGAACCACTGTTGTTAGAAAAACAGTCTTTATTTCAGATAATTCTGATATTTAACTATTCTGTAACTGATTGTAACGGGTAAATTTCCTATGGTTTTACCATACTTTTTTATTAAAACACATCTACTGTGGAAAATGTAATACACATCTGATTACTGTTATATTACGATACTGATGAAAACATTGACATTGTAAGAATCAGCTAAGTTTATATTATTTCAATATTTAGATGTGGAATTGTAGCAGAAGTAGTAATATTTTTTGAAGATGAAAGTTCATAGGCGACAAGCTGAGTTGACAAGTCCATTATATTGGTGAGCGCGAATCATATCCTGTTATCGAGCAAATCTAACAGGAAAAGTCTAATATTTATCCTTATGTTTAGAGATTGATCTTGATCATATTGAAATCGTCATTATAAGCTTCATATTATTGAATCGTACTAGAATGAGACGTATAAACTTCTCAATGACTTGTTTTTGTAAGGAGCATCCCGTGAACTTTTTACA